TGATATCACTGAGATTAAAAAGCTAAAAGCTCATATGCATAAAGATTTTGAAATGAAAGATCTTGGTGAGGCAATGAAGATTTTAGGGATGGAGATCACGAGAAATAGGAAGAAGGCGTTGGTGTATTTATCGTAGAAACAGTACCTTGAAAAGTTGCTGCACAAATTGAGTACACCACTAGCTCCTCATTTTAAATTGAGTACTCAACTATGCCCTAAAACTGAGGAAGAAAAACTCAAGATGAAAGATGTTCCTTATTCCAGTTTGGTGGGGGGGGTTGATGCATGCTATGGTATGCAGTCGCCCCAATATTTCTCACGCAGTTGGAATTGTTAGTAGATTTATGCACAATCTTAGAAAGGTGTATTGAGAGGCTGCTAAATGGATACTGAGATATCTTCATGGAACAAAGGAGACAGGAATTTGTTTTGAGAATAATTCTGAAGGAGTTGAAAAGTTCTCAATTGGATATGTGGACTCTGATTTTGCTAGTGATTTAGACAAAAGAAGGTCCACGACAGGATATGTGTTTACTATGGCAAAAGGTCCTATATGTTGGATATCAATATTAGAACCAATTGTTGCATTATCAACCACAGAGGCTGAATATATGGCAATGGCTAAGCCCATTAGGGAAGCAATCTGGACGTTAGGGTTGTTAGAAGATTTGGGTGTTAATCAACACAAGTTGGATGTGTATTGTGATAGTCAGAGTGCCATTTACTTGGCAACGTATCAGGTACATCGTGCGATTACCAAACATATAGATGTGAGATATCACTTTGTTCGAGAAATGATAGCTGAAGATGACATTCGTATCAAGAAAATTGCTACGGTAGATAATCCTACTGATATGTTAACTAAGGTAGTGGGTGTATCAAAGTTCAAGCATTGCTTAAAATTGGTGCATATTAAGCAAGTCTGAAAACTTAATAATAGTGGAGCAATGGAAGCTAATAAAGGTCTCTGATGTGGATTTCTTACCAAGGTGGAGATTGTTGAAGTTTGGTTTGAAATTGATTATGTATTCCTAGCTAAGTTAGGAATCCAAGTTGTAATATGTTTGGGAGGTTTGGATGCAAGCTTCCAAGTTGGTCTTGGATTCTGACTTAGTTTAGTTTTTGGTTTCCTGTATATAGTAGGATTTGGTTGTCATCAATCTAGTATAAATAGATGATCTTAGGAGCAGTCTCCTCAGCAGAATGGTGTGTCTGAACGCAAGAATTGTCAGTTACTTGAAGTTGCCCGCTCCCTTATGTTAGACATGTCTGTTCCCCATCATCTTTGGGGGCATACTGTTTTATCTGCTACCTATTTGATTAATCGTACTCCTAGCCAGGTTCTTGATTTCAAGACTCCACATGATGTGTTTGGTGACCATGTTTCCCCTGTCTCAGTCTCCAAGTTGCCCCCTAAAGTTTTTGGGTATGTTGCTTATGTTCATGTCTACTATTATCAACGGAGTAAACTTGATCCTTGTGCTCTGCGATGTGTCTTTATTGGTTACTCGTCTACTCAGAAAGGTTATAAGTGCTATCATCCACCTACCCAGAAAGTGCATGTTACTTTGGACGTGACTTTCCATGAAGAAGTGCCCTATTATGTCTCTCACTCCTCTCCAATTCAGGGGGAGAGGAGGAGTGAATTGGAGAGTCTTGGATTGAAGAATGATGTGTTTGAAGATACTGCTCTCGGGAAGGAAACTACCCGTCGCACTGAAGCAAGTGACCGGTCACTCATATCTGAAGATGAAACTTATGGTCCCTATGAAGAAACGACTGATCGCCCTTTGGAACTCAATCAGTCGCCCATATCTGGAGATGAAGTAGGTGCTTTAGGTGTTGAAATGACCGGTCACACTGAAGCAAGTGACCAGTCGCCTATATCTTAAAATAATGACAGTGATTCTTGTATGGATGAGTTCGATGCAATACCCCCCCTCTGCCCTGCCAGTGCCCCAATCTACTCGTGATAGTGAATCAAGTAAGGTAATTTATAATGATTTATCTGTGTCAACTTATCAGTTACCCACACGAACCACTCGTAGGAAACCTAAAGTACAATATTCTCCTGATATACATGCCAAGTCTAAATATCTCATTAGCCATTATGTGTCAACTCATCGTTTGTCTAAGTCATTTGCATCATATTTGTGTAAATTATCTAGTGTATGTGTGCCAACTAAACTGCAGGATGCTTTATCTAACCCAAAATGGATGAATGCCATGAATGTTGAAATGGATGCCTTGAACAAGAATAAAACATGAGATTTAGTTCCTTTGCCACGAGGAAAGAAAGCTGTTGAATGCAGATGAGTGTTTACTTTGAAGCATAAAGCTGATGGTTCCATTGACCGTTACAAGGCTAGATTGGTAGCAAAAGGTTATACTCAGACCTATGGAGTGGATTATTTGGAGACCTTTGCTCCAGTGGCAAAGCTCAATATTGTGCGTGTACTATTGTCTATGGCCGCTAACCGCGACTAGCCCTTATTACAATTTGATATTAAAAATGCATTTCTACATGGTGACCTCAAGGAGAAGATTTACATGAATCTCCCTCATGGTATTCTTGTAACCTCTAAGGAGGGTGTTGTGTGTAAGTTGCGGAAGTCTTTATATGGATTGAAGCAGTCTCCAAGAGCGTGGTTTAGGAGATTTGCAGCATCTATGAAAAAATTTGGGTATGTGCAGAGTAACTCAGACCATACTTTGTTTCTAAAGTGTCATAAAGGTAAATTAACAGCTTTAATTATTTATGTTGATGATATGATTGTGATTGGAAATGATCAGGCAGAAATGCAAAATCTTTATAAGTATCTGGTTTCCGAATTTGAGATAAAGTCATTGGGTGATTTGAAGTACTTTCTTGGGACTGAAGTTGCCAGATCTAAACATGGTATCTTTCTATCTCAAAGAAAATATATTTTGGATTTACTTGCAGAGACTGGAATGTTAGATTGTAAACCAATTGATACCCCTAATGAACAGAATCATAAGTTGGGGTTGTATCCTGATCAAGTCTCTACATATAAAGAGCGTTATCAACGACTTGTGGGGAAATTAATTTATTTATCTCATAGTGAAGATCATATGGGTGCTGTGATGCGCATCTTGAGGTATCTGAAAGTGACTCTTGGAAAGGGGTTAATGTTTTGCAAGTATGGTCATACATATGTGGAAGGGTATATGAATGCTGATTGGGCTGGTTCAGTCACTGATAGACGTTCTACGTCGGAGTATTTCACATTTGTTGGTGGTAATTTTGTTACTTGGAGGAGTAAAAAGCAAAAAATAGTGTCTAGGTCTAATGTCGAGGCTGAGTATCGTGGGATGGCTCAAGCTGTGTGTGAGTTACTATGGTTGAGAAGATTATTGAGAGATCTTGGGTTTGGACCCCAGAAACCCATGGATTTGTATTGCGATAATAAAGCTGCAATTGCAATTGCGCATAACCCTGTGCAACATAATCGTACAAATCACGTGGAGGTTGATCAACATTTTGTTAAAGAGAAGTTAGATGCTGAAATTATTTCTTTTCCGTTTATATCATCCGAGTATCAACTGGCAGATGTTCTTACGAAAGTTGTGTTTACTAGGGTCTTTCTCAACTCGCTTGACAAGTTGGGCATGCGTGACATCTTTGCTCCAACTTGAGCGGGAGTGTTAGCGAGATCCTAGCTTAATTAAGATATTTATTTCCCAGTTTATTAGGATTATATTTCTTTTCTTTTTGTACAGATATTGTGCAATTAGATTTTTATCTTGTTTCCTAGTTTGACCCTACTAGGGTTACATCCTTGTACTATAAATACCTTCTTTTAGAGAATGAAATACAACCTGAAAAAAATTCTACCCATATTGTTTGACTCTTGTTAAAAAGAGAAACATTGGAGAAAATTTCAAAGATCATATCAAATTAATTTTAGAGCATGCCCGCATATACTGTTGTTTGTAAGCCTCATCAGCTCAGCACCCACATCAACCGTCTCTTTCGTCATAGCACTCTCCAACATTTTCCTCAAAAACTTTGCAACCTCTGCATGTCGAATGGCACGTGACCTATCTATTTGCTTGGGTGAGAGCAGTTCTGTCATGTAAAGCTTCTACATGAACCTCCAATAGTCACCATACACCATATGGGGTGGCAAAGAATCCCAAGTTTGAGCTAATAGATAATTAGATTCACACTGATTAGATCACTGGAGACTTGCATTAGTTTGGACAAAGTCACCTACTGAATTCTGATTTGTTAGGATAGATAATGTTGTTAATTCTTAGGCCATACTATTACATACGTTCAATTATGACTTTAGGTGTAGTTGACCAGTGTGAGCAACAAACCTTGTCGAGGTGCCAATATATAACCCCGATTGTTGATCCGTTTGACTCTGATGAATTTTGCAAGAGGAACCATTTTAAGAAGGCTGAATTTTCGGCTGAAATCCAATTTGGATGCAGAACCATTTTAGTCAATCTCGCCAATGTCGGCGGAGATTGGTGTCAATTTTATAAGCCAAATAAGTTTAGACATATACCTCATCAGAGATTCTAGGTTTGATTCTCTCATCTCTCAATATCGCTTATATAAAAATAATAATAATAATAATAATAATAATAAATTTAGGCATATGGATTATGGACTCATTATGAGCAATTAATTCCCCTTGTCACAAATGTTTTCTTGACAAGAGGTAATTGCAAGAATGAAGATATTGCAGCATTTACACGATCTCTTCAATGATGCCAAAAAAGAATTATGGCTTTTTTCTAGTGTAAATAAAGTCAAGAATAGAGATAAATATCTGTAGATTGTGTAAAAAGAGTCAAATTTGATTGCTGCATGTCATCAACTCTAAGGGATGCCTCGGCCAACTAGCATAATCACTTATAAATTAGGAGGAAAAGTAATGATGATGAGAAGAAAAAACAAATTACAATTACCAAAAGGGATATCCAGGTAAAAGAACAAGTAAAGAATACATATTTTTGTTTTTTTATCAAGTAAATAATACATACTTAGTTATTAAAATAAACTAGTAATCTATTACATCAGAAATCAAATTAAAACCCAAGTGGATCACTGCATAATCTCAAGTTCTAAAAATACAGCCTCTTATTAACAGCAGCATTAAATATTAAACAACCAAAGGAGCCTTACAACTACAAGACACTTATTCTAGAATACTCCTCAGCTCTATGCTTCAACTTCTTTAATTCATGATTCCACCTGCATCAGAGAAAACAAAACACCAGATTCATCAATTATAAATTTTCAGAAATACACAAGGGAAAGATGTTCTTTTTCTTCTTTTATCTTTTTTTTCCCTCTAAAGATTCTTACAATATTACGAATAAACAAGGAGGTTCAATATAAACATATATAGTAAAAGTCATTATATAATATATTAGATCAAATGGGTGAAAAATATTGCTTCAGGAAACATTTTTTTTAGCACTATTGTGTTAAGTAACAGAGAGGAGCTAGAGAGTACATGGTTCAAAGTTGATAGTGCACTTCTCTGGGAGCTGCATTGCCATGGTACGATCGACGCCAGAAATTGAAGGGCCATTGACAAGCACACATAGGCAAGGCTGGCCAAGAGCTTTGAGGGCATTGCAGCAAGTCTCACTTGGTGGGATGGGGCTAAAAGGAACAACTGCTGCTCTGCAAGGTATTAGCTGAACAATAGATGAGAAGAAGGTGCTTGCACACATGGTGCCCTCCCCTTGATCCACCAAACCTGTCAAAACTAACATAACCACCAAAACTGGAAGAGTCATAGTAATTAGCCTCATCTTAATTAATTTGAGCTGAGATTAATTGCAGAGAAGACATCCCGAATTCGAATATATAGGACATTATGATGAGGGTCATGCCATCATGCAGGTACATCCTACCCAAAGGTCACACCTATATGATGCCATTGTCGCCAGCTCTGCCACTGATGATATGTGCATAAAAACCAGCCAAAAATACATTTGGTGTGCTGGTGGAGCAGTTGTTAAACTCAAATTTCATGACTCTTTGCATTTTCCAAATGCATCAGCAAAGAAGCTCTAGTTAAAATGAATCAAAGGCACCTACTTTCTCATTGTTTGCATATGTAGAGGCCAAAAACAATGCGCTTCTAGCTTTAATGCTATAATGCTTTACACACTTTTACTTCAATCAATTTCTTGAAACCTATTAAGCATGAACATGTAGCAACCTACAAAATGGCTCAGAAAACCTCCTAAACTACCTTTCAAACGGTCCCAGAGTGTGACCATCCAAAATATTAATATCGGATAATTAGCTCCAAGTTAGTATTTAAGAGTGTGATTAGACCAATTTGAAATTACTTAGAAAAGTACATACGATTATGAAGTTTTAAACTACAAGGACAAAAATAAAACTGATGCTACCCTATAGCAACTCAGAATACAAAATCAGTTAGGAGCAAATCCAGACTTGCGTCATGATCATAAGTTCACAACATTTGAAGTATTCGAGAAGATAATTTCCGTGTTCAATTGAATGCATGATTCTCGAGGAAATTGCTTTCGAGCACATTTGACAACTTTTGGTGAAAATCAAAATATGTGAGCACAATGCACCAAAACAAAATAATTAAGCATGACAAACAAATCAGAAATATATATTTGATTTGAGAATCCAAAGAAATTGTACAAATTTTCTTGCTGAGGAAGAACAGAAAGTCAGTAAATGAGAATATAATTCTCCAATCTTTCCTCATGTGTGTGGCCACAGTGAATAATCATCGATCCCAACCATCTTTATTACAACTCATGTCATTCCCAAAGGCCTCTTCAAATGCATTTCATATCATTGACATAACAAGTTATGATTTTCGCATATTACAGGTTATCAAAGTTCTCCTTTGTTTCCTTTGAGATTGATTACTGCAAGCTCCTGTTCAACAAACTCTCCTGCATAAATCGCCGGATATTTACTGGCAAGCGAGGATTCTGCAAAGCGACCTAAGGGCTTTAACACAGCATCAGATGCTATGTGGGCAAACAACTACATCGCAAGAAATGTCACATATAAGCATACGATGCATTGAGAAATCTTATTTATATAAATCTCTTTTAAGATGCCAACTAAAAGTAGAAGAACGAAACAGTAACAATGACAACAATATGACTAGCTGCACTCACTGTAGAAGATACTCTCCAAAGTAAGCGATGTTGCTCCGTTGCTAGTTTGATTGCGTCAACTGTCCTGTTTGTTACAACAACTTCATGCATTCCAGCTATGCAATCTCCTGCAGTCAACCACTCTATCTGCACATGAAAATTTGTGTGAATGGAATACAATTAGCTTAAAGATTTAAAATGCAACACATGCCATAGCCAACCAACCTAAAAACAGCCATTCCAATCAAAGAGGGAACTTGAATTAAAAATTAACACGCGTAATATTTGTTTTATTTGTTTTACTTGTAGCAATTCTTTTTTTTTGGGGGGGGGGGGGGGACC